TAATTTTCTATTCTGCCTGGTCTTCTGCATTTGCCCGACTTCTTCTCTGGCCCGGCATGGTAACGATGGCCCTTTGGCCTATTATGTTTCTCCTACGGCGACGCCTTTTCGCCAAGTTGAAGCCAGCCTCGTCAACATAGATAATTTCATGTGGGACTTGATTGACCTCCAATTTCATGACTCTCTAAAAGTAATTAGACACAGTGTAAATGGTTCATCGTACTATAACTAATGTATGTACTAATGAACGGCAGGTTTATAGAGTCGTTTCCTGCAAAACACACTGTGCATAGTAAAGTAATCACTGTATTGCATAGCCTTACCTGGACGTATTGGTGACAGAGTTCTGTAATGTGCTCACTGTTCTTTTCAAATACCTCATGAGTCGTTTTTTAGAACATACAGTATGATCATACAGTACGATCATGTGATTTGAAAAACCACAACACATGAGTGTGCTTTCTAGATGGGAATCATGTTCATATGTTCATATGGGAGCTGGGAGATATGAGAGATGGGAGCATATATATATGTATGTATGTATGTATGTATGTATGTGTGTGTGCCTGTGTGTATATACACACACATATATATATATATATATATATATATATATATATATATATATATATATATATATATGACAGCTGATTCCCATCTAGAAAGCACACTCATGTGTTGTGGTTTTTCAAATGAAATGATCATACTGTATGTTCAAAAAGAGGACTCATGAGGTTTTTGAAAAGAACAGTGAGCACATTACAGAACTTTGTGTGTACATACATACGTATATATATATATATATATATATATATATATATATATATATATATATATACACAGGGAATATGTTTCACTTTGGCTTTAGCCTATATAGGTTCTGTTTAGAACATGATGTTATCTGTTTTGACATACTGTGTGAAAGCATTGGTAAATTGAATTGTAAAATTACATTGTTTTGGTTTTAGTTGAATTTGTGTGTAAAAGAAGTTCAAGCATTTTAAAATGGTGTTAACTGGATGCATTTTGTGTCAAAGCAACAAGAAATGTGTTAACTGTATAGCCAACGAAGACGGATGTTGTGCTAACTGTGTTAAGAGTTTAGGAAACTTGTTAAATGTATTGAAAAAAGTGTCATAGCCATTGTAAAAAACTGTAATGACCAATGAAAGCTATTATCCAGTAATATCATACATGAAATATATTTCACTTTATACAACCCTAATTTAGAAAAAGTTGGGACAGTATAAAAAAAACGCAAATGAAAAAAAGTGGTGATTTCTAAATTTACTTTTGATAAATAATTTGACTTTTATTTTATTGCAGACAATACAACAAATTTTATTTAATGTGTTCCTCATTATTATTCTTGTATTTCAAAAAAGTTGGAACAGTAAAGCATTTACCACTTTGTAATGTTGCCAGTCCTTTTTATAATACTTAAAGACAGAAGTCCAAGTTACCTTTGCCAAGGGCACTGACACAACTCCATACCATGAGAGACTCTGGCTTTCGGACTTATTGCTGGTAACAGTTTGTATGATTTTTCTCTTTTTTTAGTCCGGTGTCCATTTCTCCCAGAACAATCCTGAAATACTGATTAATCTGACCACATTACACGTTTTCACTGTGTGATGGTCCATCCCAGATGCCTCCGAGCCCAGAGAAGTTGACAGCGCTTCTGGACATGGTTAACATAGAGCTTCCTTTCGGCACAGTACAGTTTTCACTGCCATGTGTGGATATAACTAAGTATTGTGGTACTTAACAAAGGTTTCTCAAAGTAGTCCTGTGCCCATGTAGTTATAACACGAACAGATGAATGAGAATTCTTGATGCAGTGCCGTCTGAGGGATTGTAGATCATGGTAGTTTAGCTTAGGCGTGCACCCTTGTCCTTTATGCTCTGAAATTCCTTCAGATTCCTTGAATATTTTAATTATGTTATGCTCTGTTAAAGGTGAAATATCCAAATGTCTTCTAATCTTTCTCTGAGAAATATTTTTTTTAACATTTCAATAATTTTCTTATGCATTTGTTGCTAAACTGACCCATCCTTGCTCCTAAGGTCGTTTGACCAAAATGAGTCAGGACTCAGCACTAAAAGCCAGCATGCATGTCAGATGAGCATTTCAGACACTGTGAAAATTATTGAAAAAGGAATAGTATGGATATTTTCAAAGGTGAAATGTTTAAATTGTTTAAGGGTGAAAAATTATATGTTAATGCATGTATGAAAAATGGATTGATATCGCAGTTGATCCTTTTAACATGAAATAAACTATAATAGACGGCACTAGAGATGGCACTTGTACATGGTCGTGCTCACTCTTGCAGCAGTGGTCTGTTCAGTTTCGGATATGATTGTCACTGTGGCAGCCTAATTTTTCAGTTGTCACTGACTTCAGTTGTGACAGACTAAGAAACCTTCCAACCACAGGTTGTTCAGATAATGCCTAAAAGGATGACATTTTCAGCCATAGCAAGAGAAGGCTGTTCCAAATCTGTGATTTTTAGAATATCATATATCTACAATGCTACAACTGTCCCAAGTTTTGCAAAAGGCTGAAAGACAAATACACAAGAGGACAGCATAGTGCAGAGGATCGCAATAGTTAATCGGTTTAACAGTGAAGCTGGGATTGCTTGCCAGAATATTCTGGGTGATAAAATTAAGGTTATTACAAAGAAACCCATTGCAGTCAGCAAACTATCGAAAAAACAAGAAGAGTAAAGCAAGATCACAACTGAGCAGTTTGAGTGACTAGCGTTTTCTTTTGGCCAAAAATGCCTGTTCACTTCCTGTACATTTTTCCACAAAATAACATTTTTTTTGTTGTTTTGTTTTTATTGTCTTTATTATTTTGTAAAACACTGTTCTACTAGCCTTTGAACTGCTGGACAATGATTATGCTTTTTATTGCGATTAATTAAATTTTTATACACAAAATTCATCAATTAATTCAAAGTAGTGCATTGCACACTTTTATTTTAGAAGTTCTGGTATATAAAAAACTACAATAACACTTTTTATAACTGGCGTGACAGCATTATTCTCTGTACTTATAAAGATTTTTAATGTCTTGTAAATCATAACTTAATGTAATCCAATTCAAATGAAACCTCATTTAAAATGAAATGGCCATTACATCAGTGGTTCTCAGTTTCTGCTCTTGCACCACACTGTTCTCACATATCCAGTCCAATAGAGGAAAGCTTTATGCATGACAGTGGTTGTGGCAAAAGCTTTAGTTTTAAATGTAAATCCATCAAAATACTCTCTAGTCTCTACTACCAAGCATGGGAACCTTCACTTCAAAACGTTCACATTTACATTTATTCAAAATGTCATTGCCTGCAGCATATGTTTTATAATATGCTTGATTCACACCAAAAGCAAAATTAAGTATTCGTGTGAGTAATTGCATACAAAGACAATGCAATTGCTTGAATATAGGCCTCAATATGCCACCTCAGTCGCATTTAACTTTGCTTAAAGTGAAAAATATCCAGCATGTAAATTAGAGCAAGTGACATGGTGCTCCGCTCTTAATATGAACCCAGCATTAAGCCCATTACAAATGTTTTCATTGGTTGAGATGCAGCAACATGGTGGCTCAGTAGTTAGCACTTTTGCCTCACATTTAGAAGGTTGCTGGTTCGAGTCCTAGCTGGGTCAGTTGGCGTTTCTGTGTGGTGTTTGCATGCTCCGGTTTCCTCCACAGTCGAAAGGCATGAGTAAGTTGGCCGTAGTATATGTGTGTGAATGAGTGTGTATGAATGTTTCCCAGTTCTGGGTTGCAGCTGGAAGGACATCTGCTGTGTAAAACATATGCTGGGTAAGTTAGCGGTTCATTCCGCTGTGGTGATTCCTGATGAATAAAGGGACTAAGCTGAAGAAAAATGAATGAAGGAATGGTTGAGATGCATGATGACATCCAGTGTTCAACACCCCACCCCCCATTGTTTGTCTTTGTGTGTATTCAGAGTCAACGAGCAAGGAATTTTTATTCATTTATTCATTTTCTTTTTAGCTTAGTCCCTTTATTAATCAAGGTTCGCTACGTCAAAATGAACCACCAACTTATCCAGCATATGTTTTACACAGCGGATGCTCTTCCAGCTGCAACCCATCACTGGGAAACATACATACACAATCATTCACACACATACACTATGGACAATTAGGTAACCCAATTCACCTATATCACATGTTTTTGGACTTGTGAGGGAAACCGAAGCACCCGGAGAAATCCCACGCAAATACAGGGAGAGCAAGGGATTTTTAAAAATAATAATAATAATAATTTTGAAAACTGTGCTGTGTTAATAAATTAATGGCTTAGTTATATAATAACTTGTTAACTTGACCACTCCTAATAATCTATGGGAAAAAAGTCAAGTGTGTTCATTACTGACTTTCCACCTCAACTGTTTATCTACGCTCTCATATTTAGGTCTTAAAAATTTCCCAAAGGCAATTTGTTGACAAATAATGTGTTCATTTGTTCATATTCTTGCACCATTATGTGTTTTCCAGTTGTTATGTGACTGGAGGTGTATTTGTGCTTTGTGTTTTCTTTTATGTGCCATATTGAACCTTTTGTACAGGGCTTCATGGCCAATAAACTCCAGAGAAGGGTTTTGTTTGGCTTTTTCCTTCACAGTTAAGAAGCCGACTGTAAGGAAACTTGCTACCTCAGGTCAACTTCTGCAATATCACACAATTCATAAATATAGCGCAGCTCTGGAAGTGTGAAGTTGGCTGTCCGATACAAATGCTTCGGCGAGAAACAGAGCGTGTGTTTGTGTGTGCGCACGTGTTTATTTTTAGCTCTGTCCTACTGTGTTTTCTCCAGTCTGTCTCCACTTGTTTTGCGGACAGAGAGAAAAAGGAGTGACACCTCTCTTGTATCACCTACTCAAGCAAAAGAGAGTGTGAGATTTCATCTATATTCCTTTTTCTCTCTCATCCTTCCCTCTGTCTTTTCTTCCACACAGGCCTCTCCTGCAGCGCTGGCTAAAAGTGTGCTGGCTGAAGTTCCCAATCAAGTGGTGGATTACTACAATGGAAAAGGCATCAAGCCCAAAGGCCTGTCAGACTATGAGTCTTCCAGGGCTTTTAGTCCCTGAGCTACGCAAAGCCATATAGCAACCTCCGTGTCTCAGCTTCAAGATATCTTCATTGATTATTTCAGAGCTTGCTGCATCAGTATAGGTATTAACAAGCAGGTCCATCCAGCAGTTCCACTAGTGTTTGGTTTTTCAGTAGCATTGGCATGTTTCTTCTTACACAGCTGTTAAACTGGGGTCCCACTAGACTTTTCATCCCACCGACTTCACATTTATATGGGAGAAAGACGCAAATCCGTTTAAATACATTACATATTTTGCTTAATTGCAAAGCTTGTTTATTGAACTCTGACCTGTGACTTCTCATCATGTGAATTTATGAGATCAATATGAGGTCAAATTATGACCTCTCGGTAAAAAATTTAAAACATGTAGGAATCGCTTGTTTTTTGCAGTGTCACACTGTATTATTATTTTATCCTACCCCTTTTCACCATACTGTCTGAATTCACCATCCGCATGTCAAATCAAATCAAATAACTTTTATTGATTTGATTTGACATGCGAATGTTTATACTAGTGCAGGAGTAAACATTGCTAACAGAATAAAGGAAGACAAATGGACAAAAGCAGGACATGCACTGATAGCCTTGCCTTAAAGACATTGCATGTGACCAGAAGTGAAGAAAGGGTATTTCGAGGACGAAGGGAAGGTCATGATCAGTGTTGGGTAAAAGTTCCATTGAAAGTAGTGCATTCCCAGCTAGCAAAATTCATGTGATTCAACTACGGCCCACACCAGACTCTTACATCCAGCCCACATGCCACATGAAACGATGGCAGATTGGCAGTCCTGTTTGCCAGATCTGGGCCACAATTAAGTCATAGCCATACCACTGATCAGCCAGAATTCAACCAAATGAACCAGAACTGACCCTATTCTGGGCCACAGTTTGCTTTTTTAGGCACAGATGTGGCTCACACCAGACACTTACATCCGGTCCGCACCTGTTTGTCAGATCTGGGCTACAAAGTAGCTATTACACCGCTTATCATATTTGTCATTTCAAAGAGCTTGTTTGGTTTGACCCCTATAATTATCAAATGATCACTGTACTTTATCTTTACCAAAAGTGACCTATCAAATGTTTTAGGATAACAGTACCATATTTGCCACATCTTACCTCAGCTACTTTGAGCTCACACCATCTTTAGCCAGAGATACTTGCCCATATTTACCAAATCTCATCTGGGCTACTATAGGCTCACAGCCACATTAGCCACAGCTTACTATGCCAAATATTTGCCAAAAGTGGACCATATTTGTTTTAAGATAACTGGGCCACATTTTCCAAATCTTCTCTGGGCCACAATAGACTAACAGCTGTATTAGCCAGAGTTTACTCTGCTGAATATTTGCCAAAATTGGCCCACATATGTTCTAAAAAAACAGGGCCACGTTTGCCATATTGTATCTGGGCCACTTTGGGCTCACAGCCGCATTAGCCAGAGTTTACTGTACCGAATAATTGCCAAAAGTGGCCCACATATGTCCCAAAATAACTGGGTCACATTTGCACCTACACATGTGAGACACTTTGGGTTTAGACCCAGATTACTCTTAAATGACTATGCCACATTTTTGCCAACTGTGGCCCACACAGTTGTCCTCCATCGTTTGGGCCAAATTTACCATTTCCTACATGGGCCACATTAGGCTCACATTACGATTACTTTTGCCATAAGTGCCAAATCTTTGCTTAAATGGCCCATTTATCAAATTGGAATCTTTGGCCCCCTTTTGCCATTGTACAGGTTGGCCACTTTAGGCTAACATTCATTTTGTCCAAGCCAGAGGAAGACCACCAGTGCCGCATAACTGTCTAAGGTGTCCCACATATATATGCTATCTGGGTTATAATATTCGGTTACTCCCCAAAAAGGTAAATAATTGCGTTACTTAGTCACTTTCTATGGAATGCGATGCGTTATATTACTTTTGAGTTACTTTTTTGAGTTACTGATCTCTCTCTTTCAGAACATGCAGGTGTTGTTTCACCTTTTTTTTATAGTAAAGCTCTGCATTTAACAGACACTTTTATAACCCACACCTTCATTTTTCTTAAAATGTAGGGAAAAAATATTTTTTGGGAACGATATACAGATTAATGAAAGCATGTAAAGTAGTGTTTGCTACTTTTGTACTTTTTGTGCTATTAGTTAAGTAAATTCACTGTCCATTGAGATAAAGATTGCAATAAAAGTGTGCTAAATAAGAGTGTATGTGTAAATAAGAGTGCTAACATAAAATAATTTATATTAAGGCAAAAACAGATTTTAAACATTTAAAATGTTTAATAACAAAATGAACAGTAAGATGATAAACACATCCCCAAATTAAAATAAATCTTTGAGCTTTATACATTGATAAAATTGCTTCACGTGGCTTTAACAAATGTGTAAATCATTTCCCAAAAGATATTTTTCTACTACATTACAAAATGTAGCCGCTTCGACAGTAACATTAGACAGTGACTGCATCTCCTCAACAATAAAAACAATAACAATTTTATTTGGTATAGTCAAATTAATTGTTTTACCTGGAGGAACTGGTGTCAATCATTTGTTGTTTAGCTGGAAACGGGGTACAGGTGTAGTGCTTTGCATCAATTTTGATGTTATGTTTCTTGCAGTTGTCAAGAGTTTTACTTACACATAATCTACACTTAGTAACAGTCCACTTCTTTTCTCTGATGAGTCGAAAAAATGACAGGAAACCATCGCAAAAATGTAAGTCTCCGACCTGCCGTTGTTTATGTTTCTGATTGTCTGTAGTGATGATGGGCGATTTGCGAATGAATCCTTTGTTTTAACCACATCTTAGTGAACCGGTCAAACCAGTTCACTAAATTGAACAGCGTTGTTATGAGACAGTTTGTCTTCAGTATGTATGTACTAACATACCGGATACCCCTTCTGACTCGAAATAAACCAATATACTGAGTTATTCAGTTACTAGAACAGTACACCGACTAATCTACTGTGAAACAAAGAAACCTAATGGTGATGATGAAGATTTTCAAAATGCATCAATATTCTCTCTTCAATTGATTCTGAGCATAGCGTTTAACAGCAGATGACACTGTATGCTTTACAAACAGCCATACTCTGCTTGTATTCCTTTGGCTTATTCCCTGCTGTAGCAGAGGCCGCCACAGCGGAATGAACTAGCAATTGTTTACAACCCTTAGTGTTGGGAAACACTTATTCACACATGGCCAGTTTACTTTGTCCAGTTCATCTACTACAGTGTATGTCTTTGGACTGTATAGAGGAGACTGGAGCATGCAGAGGAAACCCACATTAACACTAAGAGAACATGCAAACTCTACAGAGAAAGCTTCCTGGTCTTAAACAAGCAACCTTATTGCTTTCAGTCGACAAGTGCTATTCACTTAGCAGCCGTGCCGCCATGCTTGCATCTAATAGCCTATATGCACACAGGCTTTCAATTTCAGCCAGTCAGTCTTTCCATTATAAAATTGCCACGTTCTATTCTGCCAAAGTCTTATTTCTTTAAAATCAGTGATCTTTATTGCCCGATGGATATATGATATAAAGTGGGTCTCAGACCGGACAATGTCCCCTCTGCCATGTCTTTAAGATATGGCAGTTTATTTTACCCCAGTATTTTCAACGCTGATCGTGACGTCGCTAGTGCTCTTATATCTCGTTTTACGCTTGAACAACTGAATGAATGCTTTAGTCCAGGGGTCTCAAACTCGCGGCCCGCGGGCCATTTGCGGCCCTCAGTGCAATATTTTGTGGCCCGCGCCAACCACTGTACACTGACAGAATCAGCGGAGCGGGGAGAGAGAGCGCTCACCACTCCGCTGATTCTATCCGTACACAGCAGTCACTGGCATTCCCCGCCTGCCGTGTAAACAAAGGGGCGGGGATGCCGGTGACGTCACCACGCACCCCGCCCCTTTGTTAGACGCTGTGACGGGCGGGAAGTGTTAGGAGGGAACTCGCGCCGGCCAGAACCAAGGTAAGCTGTTCCCGCCCCTGCCTGCCACTTAGCTACCTATCTGCAGCCTGCCACCTACCTAGCTACAGCCTGCATCTTATATATATTATAGGTAGATACAGACTGGTACAGACTGATGTGACTGGAGTGGGGTGGGGGTGTTTTATTTATACATATATATACGCCTTTTTTTTAGGTGACGGCAGGCACGTGCACACATAGGGCTCAACCTGTGCAGTGCACATGCCCTTTTTAGTCTTGGATAGAAAGTGCCCTTTCAAAATGATCAAAAGTGCCCCCGCGACGCGGCACACCGTCGGTCCCGCCCTTCAGTAGGCGCGCGACAACACAGCTCTTGAGTACGCGCGCGACAACACAGCTGATCAGTACGCACGCGATAACACCGCTCTTCAGTACGCGCGCATCCACTCTGCAGTGGGTGAGGCCGCTCTAAAGCCAAGTGTGGTTCAGATTTGGGAGAAGAAGCGCTGTCAAGTCTCTGGCAGCAAGGAGTAGGCAAAAGATGCCATGTTCAGAAGAACTGTTCATAATCTTCACTCAATGTTCGATTAATGTTCAGGACACTTCATGTTCAGAAGAAATAATTAAAACTGTTAATAATGACATTTGAGGACTTTTTTTTTTGTGAAATCCCTTATGCGGCCCAGCCTCACCCAGACTTTGCCTCCTGCGGCCCCCAGGTAAATTGAGTTTGAGACCCCTGCTTTAGTCTATTTAAATGAATGTACTGTAATTACGTTACAACATCGATGATCTAAAAGGAACCTTATGCAATTGAAAATAGTTACATTAAGCTTTCACTAAAAGTTTGTCATTGGCTGAAAAACACTAGCTGTGCATACTGTATATTATACCCCATTTTGTACAAATACAATTTGAAATAATCATGAATATAGTTAGGTAGTGTATAAGCAAGAGTGTTTATAGTGTGCACTTTTCACGTTAATCTTCATAATATAGAAGTTAACATGGATGCTCTTGTTTGTGAGTGTGTGCATGTATAAAATTTATTCAGTCATTTAGCTGAATACGCCATAAGAGTAAATGTCGAAGCAGTTTTAATGCATTCTTTTTTGCAAAAACAGCATAATGGTGTGAACCACAGGGAAGACCAAAGGCTGTTTTTCCTTACTGATGTCAACGCAGCAGAGGCTTCAGTATGCTGAGCAAACTACTTTTGTGGGAAAACAGCCTGCCATTTTTCCATTGAACAGCCATTGAACTGATCATTTTTAAGGTTTACTATTAAATATTTCTTTCTAACAATTTTGCAATAGATAAGATGACATTTTCAGTGCTTTCCATTCTTTTCTGTTGCTCAGTAAAACAGCAATTAAACCCAATTTTAATGACATCAAGGCCATAATGCAATTGTTATTCAAGGCACAAGTGATCCAAGTTGGCCGTTACGCTTTCTCCAGTGACACAGCTGCAGACCCTGTTGTCTCCAAATAATAAGCCACCTTTGGAAATGGCTACCGCAACTTTAATTTCACGCTGACTTTAATGCCTGTTCACACCATCACACATTTGTTTGGATTTTCATGTGCAATTAATTTCAGACCAACATAGAAAACCAAGACTGCATTTCGTACAGGGTGAATGCGACTCCAAAGGACACTTTGGAGTGAGAACAATGCATACACAGAGTTGGCAATATAAAAGGACTTTTGGGAATTTTCCGAAGGATATAAGTGATGGACACTTCCCAGCAAACAATCTTGTGTTTAATAGACGTCTAAAAGACATCTAAATGTTGACATCTTGGCTAAAACAAGGCTAAACTTGGGCTGTCAGCGAAAATCCAATAAACATCTAAAAATAGTCCAAAACTTGACTAGTCGACAAATAGACCAATTAGACATACT